GCACTATGCAAGATAGCTATGTTGAATCTATCTACCATCTATCAGTCTATCTACCTATCCATCTATCATCTATCATCTATCTATACATCACCTGTCTATCTACCATCTACCAGTCTATCTGTCTACCTATCCATCTACCATCTATCCATACATCACCTGTCTATCTGCCATCTATCGGTCTATCTACCTATCCATCTATCATCTATCTATACATCACCTATCTATTTGCCATCTATTGGTCTATATACCTATCCATCTACCATCTATCTATACATCACCTGTCCATCTACCATCTATCGGTCTATCTACATATCCATCTACCATCTATTGGTCTATCTACATATCCATCTATCATCTATTTATACATCACCTGTCTATCTATCATCTAGCTATCTATCAATCATTCACCCACCTATCCACCTGTCTACTCAAATATCCATTAAGCTGTAATTTAATATTATACATAAATGAATATGCAATAAGAATATAGACAATGTATATGCTCTAGGATCTATGAATTATTTTTACAGTTTTCTTTTTCAGAAAATCCATCGCCATAGATTCATAGAGGCAGGAGACCCTCCGGATTGTCAAGATACCAACTGTACCACTCCTATCTCCAAAGAGAAGAAAGACCTTGTCCAGATTCCCATGGATTCGTGGCCTGATTGACTTGGAATGCATTCGACTTGACCATCTTGCCTTTGTGATTGTTTCAAGTTGGAGGGAGTTAAGACTATTAAGGTACCAATTAGGTTTCACTTTCTATCTAAGATCAAAATTGCCTGGTTTACATGACATGAAGCAGCCAAAACTGCTGAGGGGCTTTCCAGTTGTTCCACAGGAATGAAGTCCCATCCAAGGTGGCCACAGGAACAGGAAGAATGCCGTGCTCAGGACTGGGAAGATGTCTCTGTGTTTACAATGCTTGTCACACAAGCAGAAGAAGTCTTGCTTAGATCCCCAGCATCCACACGGAAGCCAGGTGTTGAGGTAACACATCTGTAACCCCGGCACTGAGGGAGGGGGGAGATAAATGGACAAAGGTTTCCCAGCTGGGAGAGAAAGTTCTTCAGGGAAATTCTTCCGAACAGTGATGGCCTCTTCTCTTTTACCCATTCCAACTGACTTGGTGAGCTCTAGGTTCAGGGAGAAACCTTGTCTCATGAGATAAGGAGGGGAGTTGACAGAGGAAGTACCCAAAGTTGTCTTCCTCCCTCACATATTCCTGCACAGATGAACACAGCTGTGCATACTCTCATACACCACACACACACACACACACACACACACACACACACACACACACTACACAATGCTGTGTCCCACATGAAGATGGACAGGCACATGGATTGTCGATGGACAGACATAACTCATCTCTTCATTTTTATCATCCTTGACTCTGTTTATGAAGACAGAAAGTTCACTTTCTCATGGCTTTATTAGATAACTTGAGCCTTTTTTTTCAACAACCAAACATTATTTCTTCACTAATTGAGTCCCAGTTCATCATTATATTCTTCCTGTTTCTGTTTTCATCTTAAAATTATTCAAGAATTGTGAAAATCATCTCAACTTTTTGGCAGGAATTAATACTTAGGGATATATAATTACCGTGGTTTGGGCACAAATACTTGGCAGGATCTGGGCAATTTGTCTGTAATTCAAAAGTGTTTGTGCCTGCAGAAATCCTTCACAACAAAAGCCCCAGATCAGCCCAAAGTGGGCTGTAGTCTTGCTTCTCAGGTAGCACAGAGAGTGTCACACAGCGTGTGCAAATGGTTCTGGAGCAGTGGCCACCTGAACATTTTCAGTTGTTCTGGGAGCAAAGTTGTGCCAAGCAGGAAAGGGATGCCTTCTCTTCCCCACTCTCTCTTACTGTGACGGAGGCCTGTCAGTTGGGTGAGAAGGCTCCAGGAAACTCTTGCAGACATTGACGGACTCCTTACAGTGAGCATTCGACTTAAGGTGAACATTCGACCGCAGTTCCTCTGCAGGGCCAGTGCCAGCAGTTAGCTCAGCACACAGAGGAGAGCAGGCTCCGGGGAGCCCTCGGAACCACATCTATGAAAATGCAGACGTTTAATCCGATAAGCTGACAGTTTTAGAAATGATTTTTACTCAACCAACAGGAACAATCTCTAAATAGATAACTAAGATGAAATGATCACATTCCCCCCTTGTGTGTGGCCTCAAGCATGCAATTAGCAATGACATCTCGGGGAATTGTCATCCTGAGCTAATAGCGGGAAAAGCCTAGCTGGCAGTTTTAACATTGTAGCCATAAACGAATGCAATAAAACACCTGGAGCTGTTAATAAGAGTAAAAAATGTCTTTTGAGCTTCATACTAGATAACGTAATGGTTTCCACATAATTAAAATTACAGATATTTTCTTCCACTCGGCTTCACAGAAGTTCTATGAGAGTATTGAGCAATTGTTTCCTGAACTATTGCGGGGATGCTGAAGATACGGTGTCCTTGTAGGCTTTCAAAATTCGGCTTGGATATTGGATGGTACTGTAAACGTTCACAGAGGTGGGGAAGCCAGAGCACTCCTGGCAAGTTAACGTTTTTCTGTCCTCCTACTCTGGAGGTCACTGCCGTGGCCCAACGTTCTTCAATACTAACAGCAATATTAAGATTAATAAGTTACCTTTCTTCCTAAGAACTGTCTTGACATATCACATCCTTCTTTACCTATAAAGTCACTTTGATTCCACTGAAACATCTGCATGTGGCCATGCGAAGTATTCTGTGTGAGCTCTGTGGCAAAAAGTAAAGTTATAATTGCCTCCCCCCCACACTAAGCAAAGGCTGCTTCTTTGCTTAGCTAATGAGGCTTCCCTGAGCTTCTCTCCCCAGCTTTCAAAGGATAAAAAGCAAGTGTGGCAGGAGCTGGTTCCACCATTATCATGGTAAGAAAAATGTAAATAGAGTCAACACAGACAGGCTGCTTTCCCTCTGCCGGACACCTGCCTCCTCCAACCCCACTTCGGCAGCCGCACCTCTGCCAAGGTCCTGTTGCCTCTGACCTCCACTCATAAATCCTCATTTTAATATTTCACAACAGGAAATAAATATCAGCATGCCATCCCTGCTGTTAATCAAACCACACCCAAGCTCTCAGGCACAGGCAAGTGGCCCCATTCACTCCTCGTCTGCAGGGATTCGTCATTGTTTTGGAGACTGGGTGACACCACACTTCAGCCCCTGACATACTTTTTCCCTCTTCTCCTGTGATGTCACAAAAATGATCTCATCTTGCATCAGGTTGTTTGGGGTGAGTTGTTGAGTCCCTTTCAGAGTCTCCCTGCCACTGCCAGGCATGCATGGGAGCCAGGGAGCCGGCTAGTCATTGTCTCTGTAACACTTCCAGTGCCGGGTTTTTCTAAACCACGAGATGGGTTTCCCACCCATCTTACCTCCTCCACTTAGAAATAAGAACTCTGTAGCCTCCGTTAAAGGAAGCAAGTTCCAAAACCTCTCTGCACACACCCCAAATCGTGTATTTCTGGCCCTGTATTGCTGGCCCAACTTTTAAAAATCTGTTATGATGGCTGGCATGAGTGTGTTGCAAAGCCTGTCAATATTTGTATGTATTTTCCACACTAAGAGAATGGAAAAGCCAAACTGTATTGCAGCTGCGTCTTGAGCACTGTTGACCACTTGTGGAAGTTTCTATGTGGGCCTCGCATGTAATGATGACTAAATGTTTACCCACCCTCTAAGAAGAGGACAATTCACATACAAAAAGGAAATGGGGGCTGTATTACTTTGCCATTTAAATGTGAGAAGACTCACAGCTCTTTCCATTAGCACCTAATTTTTTTCCTTCTGTGTGGATCATAAGTTGTGTAGATCTTACTACTATGGAGGTAATTATTTCAACAGGATTTCTTTCATATTTATTTTTATTTTATGTATATGAGTGTTTTGCCTACATGTAAGTAAGTGCACCATGGATGTGCCTAATGTATTCAGAGACCAGAAGAGGTTATCAGATACCCTGGAGCTGGACTTAGAGACGGTTGCAAACCACCATGTGGGCGGTGAGAAGCAAACACCCGGCCCTGTGGAAGAACAGCACTCATACCCACGATGAGCCATTGCTTCAGCCTCAGGAATTTATTTTAAGGGTGCCAGGGACCGGAGTAAAGGTAATAGGGACACTCCACCAGCTCAGTGATGCAAACACCCTGGGAGGGAGAGCTCCTGGCTCAGCATAGGACCCACACTTCACTACAGACCGTGTGGGCCTTGGGACAGCACCTTGGGAGTAGGAAGTAGGAAGAGGTCTGTGGGCTGCCTGCTGGTGGTGGCTGAGGCCTGGGGAACGCCGCATGAGTCATTGTAGGGCCTTTGGGTTCCACTTCTCCTAAAGGTTTACCTCCAAGCCTGGAACACTTGCTGAGGACTCTAAGCTTCAGGAAGCTTTCAAGGGTAAAATGAGTTGAGACAAGAATCGCTCCGTGAGAAGGGGGCAGCGGAATTACACACATCACTCAAGCGGAAATGCCACTTGTGAGGAACTCTTTGGAACCATGTTTTTCTGTAACTGGTCACAAAAAAAATCACAACATGTCTATTTCCTCCGCAGGCCCTTGTCATCTCCACCTTGGAACGTGTTGTCTTACTCCTCCCTGTCCTGAATTTCTTCACCAATCACAGCTTCTTCCCTGGTCCCAGAGGCCGTGCTCATAGGAGATCGGGTGTGAAGACTGCGTTTCTGCGGTGACAAAGGAGCACCCTGGCAGAAGACTCTCAGGCCACCCACCGTGGAGGGCAGTCAGGAAGGAGGGTGCGGAGGGACTTACGGCTTCACTCTGAGACAAGAGTTTCCTTGCTGTGACTTCCCCCCTGGAAACCCTGGCCTGACTCTCTGGGCCCTGCCTGGGCTCCCATGGATAGAACCCTCGTGGTCCAGTTTCCCTTGAAGCTCTGCATTTTACAAGCCCATCATCTTGAATGATGAAGATGTAGTTGCTCTTCAGAAGCAGGTTTTGTGAAAGTGTTTATTAACAGTTTACCATAGAATGAAAGGTACCTGAGCTTATACGGTCGCCCACTAAAAGGAATGTTGAGGTGATGTGAGAATGTTACAATGGGTGAGCATGTATGGAAGGGGCATTGGCCACCCTCAGGCCAAGGTAAAAAGTGTAAGTATCACTTTTGGAAAGGGCTCAAACTCTCAGCTAGAGATGAAATTAAAGAACTTGATATTTTCCTTTGTTTTGTTTTGTTTCCACAGCTTTGGGATTCTGACAATCCAGATGCCTGTTTTCTCCCATGGTTCCTCATAAGCTTCCGGTCATATTGTTCACCTCTGCTTTGGATGTAGGTACAATTCTGGTGAAACAGAACCAATTTCCAGGGCTGTTTGTGCCCTACCGGTCTGGAGACAATCGGATCTAAAGCAACAACCCAAAGCCGCTAAGCGGGTGCCAACTTAGAAGAGCCAGATCTATTTGCTGAACGTCCAGGATGGATGCATGCTGGGCTATTATTCCCGTCCGGGAACATGGGAGGCTGTTCACAAAGCTCTGAGAAGTGCTGACCTTAGGGTGGTCATCCAGAGAACTCTGCAGTGCCCATCTGCTGCTCTGACTGACTTCTCCTGTGATGGGCCACTGTGCCTTCTTTATTGCTAATTCCCCTTCAGAGGCAGAGCTGGGTATAGTCTTGTTAATCTGAGCAGATTAATGTGGAAGCTACATAGTTATTGAAATCTCTTAGTTTGGATTAAAGTTCACCCTATAAAGTCAAGAAGGAATTCTGCATTTGAAGGGTTAAATTCTCTAAAATGCCTCATTGTACTCACAGGAGAGATCTATAATTCTACTTTGAACAAATGAACTTAATTCCTACTTAAAGGGCTTCTACGGAAATCCTCCCCTTATCCTGAAAGCAAACTAAAATTACCAAAGACATGCGGGGAGTTCAAAATGTAAAATCCTTCTTAAAGAGAATTTCTGTTTGCAAGGAGAGAGTCACAGAGAGAAAGAACAAGATGGGAGAAAAAGACTGAGAACTCATACATCAATGTTGTACAAGCAGCACTCGTGTGTGTGTGTGTGTGTGTGTGTGTGTGTGTGTGTGTGTGTGTGTCTTCACCCAAAATGAGGTGCCTTGGACTTCAGGATATCACAAGATGAGAAGCAGGAGGACCCGCTAGACAAGCGCTTAGCACACTTCACAAGCATCTCTCTTTTAATGGTGCAACTGCAAATGAGTGTAGGTTTGTAATTAGGAAGCAGAGCAGATGGTGGAGAGTTAGTTTAAAGTGTTCATTAAAACAACCTGCACCGCCAAGTTACTGTTCCTTGCTAGGGGGCTGTTGCTCAGTTGAAATGTGTTATGTGGAGCTGAGATGCAGGGAAAGATCACCGCAGTGGGGAATCCAGTGTAACTGTTCCCTCATTGCATGCTAGTTTCCAGATGTGTGCAAATGGAGCCTCTAATTCCATAGCCAGAAGCACTTATGGCACATCAAAAACTCAAGGAAATCCCAAGTCACATAACCGTGGTCTTTTGCATAAGACATGCAGTTCCTCAGCACAACTGTAGGAGGCAGTCTCTTAGGGAGCCCCTGGTTTTTCCCCTCTTTGTACTAGGTGGGCTTTTGTGTGGCCTTCCCCCAAAGAGTGTGAGTGGGCTGGATTTATTGCCTGCCTTCTAAAGAATCCAATAAAATTTGCAGAACAAACTGCAGACAGAAGTGATCAGAAGATGCCTCTGGGAGCAGGCTACAAAATGCTGGCTCCCATTTTGAATGTTTTCTCACTCTTCCGCTGGGGGAAGCCAGCTGCCAGGGTGTGAGCTGTCCCCTGCAGAGGCCCGGGTGCAAGAGCCTGGTGTCCTAGCAGAGGCCAGTGAGGATTTGGAGTCACCAAGAGCCACATGAGTGAGATTGGAAGAAGATCTGCCTCTAATTAGCATTGACTGAATCCCTTTGAATGACCTGGGGGCTTGAGGTACCCATCAAGAATATTCAAACCCTGGGCCACTGGAAATAAGCAATAATAAGTATCGAGCTAGTGGACAGTTTGCTTTGCAGAGCTCAGAAACGTAGGGCTCAAGTCCGATACTCAGTCGGCAAGTTGCCTATGTACTCCCTTTTTTTCCCCTTCCCATTTTATATAATTATGGTTGAACAGCTGGTTCCTGGAATTTCAATGAGAACATAGGGTGAAAGACCTTGTCAAAATACTCAGTGGTGAAATGGCCAGAAAAAGTTCCGTATAATTGAAATGTCAAATTTATCTAGAAAGTGAAATAGACTGGGTGGGCAGCCTTGGCAGTCCTCGCCTGGCATTGTGTGTTACCACACACACACAGGTGTGCAGGTGGAGAGATGCACCCATTTGTTCTTGGCACCTTATCTCTGATCATACGTGCCTGAGTGTGTGTGTGTCACGCGTATCTCCACACGCAGGCCCAGGAGTGACTTGTGGAACAAGGCAGTGACAGTCTCCTGGACTTGTTCGATGGAATTTGAAAGAACAGCTTCACCAAAGAACCTTTCATGAAGACACACAATAACATTTTTAATGGTTTTGAGAGTAAAATATAATTACAATATTCCTCCCTTCCTCCCTCCAAACCCCCTCATACACTCCTCACAGCTCTCTTTCAAACCCATGGCCTCTTCTTTTATTGACAGTTTGTTGCAGCGTTTAACAAAGAGCTGAATGGCCAACAGCTAGGCGGGAGAGGACAGGCAGGATTTCCAGGCAGAGGGAGCACTCTGTGAAGAAGAGAAGTGGGAAACCAGCGAGACCCTGAAGAAATTGGACATACGGTATAGAGCAGATGTGGCTGAGCCGCGTGGCAGAACTTAGGTTAATAGAAACAAAGTAATTTAAGTTATAAGAGCTAGATAGGGAAAAAAAATCTAAACTAAAGCCAAGTTTTCACAATTAATATTAAATCTCTGTATCGTTATTTGCAGACTGGTAGGCCCAGCGAAAAAGTCTGACTACAAATGATGTCCAACATGCACACATACACAGAGCCCACCTTTAGGCACACAGAGGCTAGGCCCCTTTAGTACAGGGAGCACTTGAGCAGCCTGCGCACAACTGGGGCAGGAGACTAGGTAGAAAGTCGGTGCAGACACATCTTCTCAGAGCTGGGGCATGAGGCATGGCCCTCGCTAAGCTGAGAGGGGCGGAGCCAGCCTCCAGCGTGCCCTGTGCTAAGTGGAGCTGCACAGCAGATGGCCTGGCCCTTTAAGGCTTGGCTCACACTGACAGAGAACACTGCAGACATGCAGAAAGCCAGGTTCAGACACAAAGTAACCTCTAGAAAGGTACTGTATGCTTTAAAATGTGCTGAGGTGCTAAAGAAAGAAAGAAAAATGGGTATAGACAGTTACAAGGAAAAAAAAGAAATAGTTTAAAAATAATACAGTAAAGTCTTTAAAGAGAGAGTAAAATAATATTTTTTTTTTTAAAAATAAGCCAGGTAAGGATAGGAAATATTATAATCCAGGGAGTTTGGACCCTATATGGTGCTTTGCTAATTTTGAATTTTTTAAATGCTAATGAACAGAGAATGGCAGTTGCTGAGAGACACTGGATTATGAAAGAGACTGCTAAATTAAAACAGCCTACTCTAGGGATGTCTTGGCTTCAGAATGGAAGTCAATGTATTGGTTGTGGAAGAGGTTCTGCTTATGAATCCATGGGAAATGAAAAGCTATGGATTCCTTCAAAAGTATTAAAGATCAGATTTGACCATAGAGACCTCCTGGGCTGCAGATGTGAGGAAGGAAGCCAGGAAAGACAACAGGACAGGTAACACATACGCTGATTCCTCTGCATTGGAACAGCTCTGAGACTAGATGAGAAATGATAAATTTTGTCCTCATGACTTATTATTACATGTCATCCATTTATAAAACACAGATGGAAATTTATATTACAGTTTGGCCATGTGGTCCAAACAGACTTATAAAGTTGACAGATGTCTTTTACCTGCTACAACATAGAGCAGAAAATCATGCTTAGCTGATTTGGGCACACCATACATTCCATACGTGTGTTAATGCAGACATGTATGTTACCTTTTAAAGTCTGTGTGTTTCCAGAACAAAAGAACCAGACACCAAAGGAGACAAGTAGCCCAGGTGATCCAGCCGCTTAGAATGCCTCAGTTGCAGTTTCCTCAAAAATCCAAATCCAGAACAACTTCAAAGCTGCTAGCTGAGATGGTCCAGCCTCACAGACTATCCAGCCAAGAGTGCAGAGAAGCCCTGCACTCTCCCACCACACAGAGACTGGACAACACATTATGTAGTTAGCTCTCCCAGGACTTGATTATTATCCCAATTTTCTCAGGGTCCCCTAAAGATGTCATCACCCCCAGGCAATCGGAGGCAATCTAGAGAGCATAATGTCCACATTCCCAAGTGGTAGGATGCGTGGGTTTTGTGGCTCAGTGGGTTATAAGTGTTTGTCATTGTTCAAGGGGCTTTAGTTGCAAGTTGTTACTGGTTGTGGTTAAAAAAAAAAAACTAAACAAAAGAGGTTGGATTCAAAGATCTCTTTCTGAAAAGAAAAAATGGGAAATATATGGAAATGTTAAGATAAAAGGATAGATTATTGAATGTGCTTTTAAACTAAAAAAGCAACTAGTAGTCTCAAATATTTTACATTGGTATGGATTATTTATATAGATACAAATTTAAGATTATTTCTGTTATACTGTATATATGGTTCTACTCTTGTTTATAGTACTTTTGTATATGGATACAAATTTATTTTTGTTATACTGTATATACATTTCTATTCTTATTTAAGGTATTGTACCTATGCAGCTCATTTAACAATATAATATAAATTTCTAGTCCTTGAAAGCTACTATTATAAACTATTTAGGATAGTTAAGAAATAAAGGTTACTAGTCATCTATAACAACAAAACTTGTCGTCATGGTAAGTATGTTTTCAAGGTCAAACAGAGATATATTTTAAACAGATATATGCTCTTTAAACACTTAAGAGACCTACAGAATGTGGCATTTAAAATGTTTTAATAGCATAAGGCTTTTCATGACAGTGAAACACATCTGCTCCTGGCAACACCAATTTGCTTTTAAAAAAAAAGAATGTTGGAAATTGAAGAACTTCCATATGCAGTTTGCTTTCAATGTGGCAAAGCTAGCCATTTGGGTAAGAAACTACGCTTGCCTCAACTGCTGACAGTGTGCTCTCTAAATCGGACAAGCAGTATCAAAAGAAGGTGACTGCTGAACTTTGCCAAGACAAGGTAGGACAGTCTTTCAAAATTCCTGCTTCATAGAAAAGTCTGTCAGACATTCTAGACCTGTAGGCCAAGATGGATGCCCCAATGTTGCAAAGGAACCTTGGATGACTGTCCAGGCAGCCAGCTGTCTCTGTTGTTTCTATAGTTTTGGAAGTTGTTTGCTCTGCAATTCCTGTTCAGTAAGGTAATATTATATCCTTCTTGGGTTTTTGATGAGGTTGAAGACTAAATAGTTATAGTTACAGTTTTCCTTGTTACAAAATTCAGGAAAGAAACTCACAAAAGAGATGGAAGGTGCATAAGGTTGAGGGACATAACAGCTTAAGTTGTTTATCTAAGAAATTGTTTTGAGGTCTAAAAGGATAGTTTTGAGTTGTTAATATAAGTTAGGATAGAAATGAGTTAGGTACAAAACTTGGACTCACTATGATAGGATAGATAATTGAGTATTTTCTCTGAACATGCCAAATACATATGGACTGGACATTGTGAATGTAATTCTTATCTGCTAATATGCTTATTTTATATAGTTTTACTATGCTAGAGTTAAAACTTTTCCTTATTAATTAGACAGAAAGGAGGAAATGTTGTAGAATATTTGTTTGCACTTTAAAGATGTATCTTTGCCAAGGTGCCTTCTGATTGGTTTAATAAAGACCTGAAAGGCCAATAGCTAGGCAGGAGAGGATAGGCAGGATTTCCAGGCAGAGAAATAACTCTGGGAAGAAGAGAAGAGAGGATACCAGCGAGACTCTGAAGAAGTTAGACATACAGTACAGAGCAGAGGCAACCAAGCCATGTGGCAGAACATAGATTAATAGAAACAGGGTAATTTAAGTTAGAAGAGCTAGTTGGGGAAAAGACTAAGCTAAGGCCAAGCTTTCATAATTAATATAAAGTCTATGTGTCATTATTTGTGGACTGGTGGTCCTGAGGTAAAAGTACGAACTACAACTGTTACTGTAGCAAACCAGAAAGCTGGAATCCCAGCTTCCTTTCCGCCTTCCGGAAGTCTTCTGTGACCAGTTTCCAGTCTCTAGACCAAGAGGGCCTTCTGGGCTCTTTCCTTCACACTTGTCTCCTGTCCTTGAAGTTTTTCCTTAGTCTATCTCATCAAACCTCACTGTTTAAATTCCATTAAACATTGGGAATTCGGGACAGGAGAGATGGTTTATTAATTAAGAGCACTTCTTGCTCTTGCAAAGGACCCGAGTTTGTCCCCAGTACCAACATGGTGGCTCACAGCCCTCCACAACTTCAGTTCCAAGGGACATGACTCCCTTTTCTGACCTCTTTAGACACAATGTCCATACATGGTATATGTGCATACAGGCAGGCAAACACTCAAACACATAAAATTTAAAATATTAGAAATTCAAAAGTTTTGTATTTTTGTCTTATTTTATCTCCCATACTGAATAATCCTTCATAATCACAGAATGTTGACTTTTATATGCGATGATGTAATGGGGAGCTTTTGTCATCATTCCAACAACCAGTAAATGCTTGTTCAAACAAACAGTAAATGATGGCTCACACAGTGAGAGGACAGAAGAAAACATAGGGCAGAAACAAATCAGTGGGCAGAATCAGGAAAAGCCCCATGGAGTAAACCATGTCCCTGTGCCAATCAACACAGAAGCGTGCACCA